CAATAGTCTTCGGGTGATGATGATGTTTTAATTCTTCTGTCTAGTTATTTCAGGTATTTCAAATCATTTTATATAATATCAGACAATAGAAGTCCGAACTGATGAAATCCATCATGAAACATTGTCAATCATCTTCAAACAAACGTAGGAGACATTGCCTTTGTTGTATAGTCCAATCCTGCATATTATATGTTTTGTCAAATCACCCACTATCACAGATGTCATGGTGTATCTGTGGACTTATCTTTAGTTCTAGTTCCATGTCAGTTGTCATTCTGTCATGTATTCATTTAGAAAAACGTTATCAGGAAATTTATCGCACATTAACACTGAATTATACAAAAACACTTTTCTCTACTCAGTTTGTGCTCCAAACATTCGTTATAGAATTAAATCAGAAATCATAAACAGAATTTCTACACAGTATACTAAATGAAAGACATGGAACACATCAATGTCTACCAGTGAGGATGATAGTGTTCCATGTAACATAAATTTTCACCTTTCATTTAGTATACTGTGTAGAAATCCTATGAATGATATCTGATTTAATTCCATAAAGAATGTTTGGAATAAAAACTGAGTAGCGAACAGTGTTTTTCGTATAATTCGGTGTTCATATAAGTTTCGAAAGAATGTTTCTTTCGTGTAATTCAATGTTTATATGTTTTAGGAGGGCTTTCTTCCAGTTAGTGTCTGAAAGTTACTTCTTTGCATGATCTACACATCTATGTATAGAGTTACTTCTTCTGAAATTGATTTCTTCCTTCCTTTCTTTGGAAGATTCCCAAATTTTTTTGTACCAAGATGGAATAGTAAAAAGCCAAAAACTTTCTTTCCCAAGATGATCATCCTAATTCATTCAGTCGTTTTTGTCCACTCTTCTATTCTAAACAGATATTCGGAAAGGTGTTTCGAGCTTTGAGTGTAAGGATAGTTAATTTTTTCCGCTCATAGATGAAAATAAACTGAATTTTCCCTTTTAATTTCCCATCATAGATAGTTTAGTGTATCGAAATAATTAATAGAAATATTAAATATGTATTATTATTGTTGTTACTAGCGACACGCCCCTCTGAGGTACTACCCACTGAATATTCTGAAGTCCCATCTAATAATTTTAATGATCTCTCTATCAGAGGTAGTAATCAAACTGAGAAACAATCATATCTCTGAAAAGTTGTATAATATTATCGTTACTCTCTAGCTTTGCTACCACAGTGAAGGTGAACAACTCGGGAGCGCTTAGCATATTCCACGTCGAGAAGAAAAAAAAAGACATTATAAAAATGAAACTATATGGTTGTTGCACGTAGCACGAAGAAATATTTCTTGATATTAATTTTGACCTTTGCGACTATGGGAGAAATGATCTAGCGCGTTCTTGCGTAAAACGAGGAANGAGCCGCTCTTGAATGGACAATAAAGCATTAAAAAAAAAAACAAGTTTCAACTTAGTCAGCAGTTGAACGAATAGTGGCGTTACTGTCTCAAGTAAGAAATGACTGAACTTCTAAACTTCTTAAGAACTGTATTATTGCCTGGTAGATCTACATAATGCCTTCTGCTCTGATATCTCCAAAATATCAGACTGATGTAATGCAAATTTATTAGCTTTTGATGTCCCAAAAACCAAAGTTTTATCCTTCAATTGCCTTTTTGATAATATTCCTTTAGCTTTGAATTCGAACGTGATTGATTATTATTTGATAATATTCAATGTCTTTCTTTCAAACTATTGTTGAGTACAATAGAGGAATAATAAGATAAGTTTGAGGAGCACATACTATCACTTAACAAAAACTTTCGTCAGGATGTTATGCTGTGAAACTAACATGCAATTTTCAATAGAACTAAAACAATATCAAATCAATGGGCTAATTTCACATTTGATCACATGACAAAGACCTTATATCTTCAGTAGGTACCATCACCATCACTAAGACGACGTAACAACATCAAAAAAAAAAAACTCAAACCACATACAACTACTGTCGACTGGCGTGTCACTTCCGGGCTGGTAAAACTCTCGTGTTCCGAAAAAAAATCTGTTTCCTGTTCCTGAGGTTTCTCCATTGTTTGCGGATGGACATGCAACTGAGAAATGAGGCTGTTAGAGGGACGTTAGTTACATACAGGGTCGATCTGAATTAGTGGCCGAATCGACAACAAAGAACCCTTCGAGAGGCTCGGGATTGCTGAATTTATTTTTGAGACATTTATGACAATAGTGCATTGAAATAATCAGAAGATATGGAAGATCAGTGTAAAATGAAAAAAACAGAACATGGTAGCTTCTTCTATGGGATTACTGGAAAACTTATACCGTTTAGACAAGAAGTGGTGCTGTGAATATACAATTCAATTTGAAAAAAAACTTTTCTGCTTTCATTTCTCCATCTTCATACAAAAATTGAGGCAAACTTCCAATGGAAAGAAGAAAGCATTTGAATTCAAAAAAACTTCTGTATACAGATGGAGCGACTTTAATCTCGGAATTTCAAGTTTAATGTCGTAATTTCGAGTTAAAAGTCGTAATTTAGAGGTTAAAGTCGTAATTTAGAGGTAAAAGTCGTAATTTAGAGGTTAAAGTCGTAATTTAGAGGTTAAAGTCGTAATTTAGAGGTTAAAGTCGTAATTTAGAGGTTAAAGTCGTAATTTAGAGGTTAAAGTCGTAATTTAGAGGTTAAAGTCGTAATTTAGAGGTTAAAGTCGTAATTTAGAGGTTAAAGTCGTAATTTAGAGGTTAAAGTCGTAATTTAGAGGTTAAAGTCGTAATTTAGAGGTTAAAGTCGTAATTTAGAGGTTAAAGTCGTAATTTAGAGGTTAAAGTCGTAATTTAGAGGTTAAAGTCGTAATTTAGAGGTTAAAGTCGTAATTTAGAGGTTAAAGTCGTAATTTAGAGGTTAAAGTCGTAATTTAGAGGTTAAAGTCGTAATTTAGAGGTTAAAGTCGTAATTTAGAGGTTAAAGTCGTAATTTAGAGGTTAAAGTCGTAATTTAGAGGTTAAAGTCGTAATTTAGAGGTTAAAGTCGTAATTTAGAGGTTAAAGTCGTAATTTAGAGGTTAAAGTCGTAATTTAGAGGTTAAAGTCGTAATTTAGAGGTTAAAGTCGTAATTTAGAGGTTAAAGTCGTAATTTAGAGGTTAAAGTCGTAATTTAGAGGTTAAAGTCGTAATTTAGAGGTTAAAGTCGTAATTTAGAGGTTAAAGTCGTAATTTAGAGGTTAAAGTCGTAATTTAGAGGTTAAAGTCGTAATTTAGAGGTTAAAGTCGTAATTTAGAGATTAAAGTCGAAGTTTTTAGATTAAAGTCGAAATTTCGTGTTTTAGATCGAAATTTTGAGATTGAAGTCTGAATTTTGAGATCAAAATTGAAATTTCGACTTTCAAGTCGTGATTCAGAAATTAAAATCGAAATTTTCAAGAAAAAAATAATGAAAAACTGTGGTTCTTCTTTCCTTTCATATACACAATTACGACTTTAATCTTGAACTTACATTTGAATTCTAAATTAAAGTCTAAAGTCTAAATTACGATGTTAAAGTCTAAATGACGACCTCAAAGTCTAAATTACAACTTTAAACTCGAATTTTCGCCTTAAAACTCAAAATTTCGACTTTAGACTCAAAGTTTTGACTTTGAATCCGAAATTACGACTTTCATTTCGAAATTTCGACTTTCAACTCTACGTCTCAAATCTCGAAATCTACACATTATATATACGACTTTTAGGTCTGAATTACGACTTTTAGGTCTGAATTACGACTTTTAGGTCTAAATTACGACTTTTAAATCTAAATTACGACTCTAAACTAAAAATTTCGACTTTAAACTCAAAATTTAGACCTTCAATCTGAAATTACGACTTTCACACTCGAAATTTCATCTTTTTTTTCGAAATTTCTAGTTCAAACTCAAAATTACGATTTCAATAACGAAATAACGATTTTAATCAGGAAATTATGACTTCAATTTCGAATCTCGGCAATAAATTTCAAATTAAGATTTTTAAACCTGAATTACGACTTTGAACTCAAAATTTTAAATTTAATATTCACTATACAGAGAAAACTGAACTTTCGACAGTCACGTCAGAGAATTTTCAAGGCGAACAATATCCTGCCAGTATATGTAATTTATATGTATGACGGTGTAGTATAACTCTATGAAAATGAAAGAAACTCAAGTCTATTCCAATTCATAAATTAACAGTGTCGGAGAAACGTTTGTCCTTTGAATGTATAACATTTTTCAATAAATTACCGTAGAGACTCAAAATTTCATTGTGACTGAAAGTATTCAAAAAGGATTTCAAAAAGTTACAATCTGATTCGCTTCAGGAATACCTGAATAGTTCTTAAAACTTTCATGTTCAATTAGTATTCCTCCAATAATTCGTAATGTGACTTCGACCAATAATCTGTTCCTGCATAATTCACACCTTGAAGTTATTCAGAGTAGAAGAAAACATAAAACGTGGTTAATCAAAAATGAATGAAAGCTAACTAAAGGCGAGGCAGTTCTGTGCCTACCTTTTGGTTTTCCTTCAAGAAGAATCCACTGTAGTTCGTGGAAATCGACTAGAAACAAAACAATCTTTGAAACTAGAATGGTTGGCAAACAGATATACAGGGTGCTCTACAAATGTAATATACTGAATGGAAATTGTTGAAAAAAGGTGATGGAGTGAATTTTCTTACTTTTGAAATATTTTGTCTACCGTTTGATGCGGTAAAAAATAGTTATATAGCAATTGTAGTCTCTGACTACATCTCAACATATAGATGTCACTATCTCTAGCATTAATGAAAATGATAATTATTGTGTTACACTTGTGGATAACTTGATATTTTTATTCACCTCCACCATGAAAAAATACTTTTGCATATAAATTAGTTGCTGAGAGTAGCATTTGAAAACGCATGTATTGATACTAGAATTTTAAACGGGGGACCACCCTGTAATCTGAAGAAGTATTTGATACGGAGCAAAAGTAAGACATAGACACTTTAATAATAGGTTTTTGCAACTTACATCTGTATGAGTTTTGAGGGACTGAGCCGCGGCCTGACTCAATTTCTCCCTGTACAGTTGAGCCGCTCTTGAATTGTATTTTTTCTGCGAATCATTAGTATTACAATTGTGCTGGCTGAAGAATTGCAACTAAAAAGAAAATGAGTGAAATTATAACCCCCAGAATTTCATGTACTACATCTAAGCTCGCTTACGGCATTGCTGTTTCCTCCTAACTGCATCTGCCTTAACTGCATCCAGGTCCAGTTCGTGTCCAGCTGGGTTGACCTTACAAACGTTAAATGCACTCCAAGGCTTCTGTGAACAGCAGAGCAATCGATACAAATGAAAACTCCATATGTAACGCTAGACCAGGTTGGATTTTTGGCGTTGCAATCGAAACATACCTGTAACGAGGTCAAAAAAGGCTAGGAACAAGGTCGAAACAAGTTTAAAACAAGCACAAGCAATATTGCACTAGAATTTAAATCGTCAAAAAGGGCCAAGAGGTGGTACTACTTAATAGTATTGATTCACACAAAAGAGATTTCAATAACAATGAGGGTTTTCGAAAGAAACACTTGGGAAACTAATTATTTTGCAGACACGTCATTCCCTTGAGCAAAAGCCTGTCCCCTAAAAATTCTCCATTACTTTTACTACATACTTTATTAGATGCTATCGATCTAAGCTTGTGAAATACGGCTTCTATGTTTTCTTTTGTGGGTTGCGAATTCATTTTGCAAATTTTATATAGGAATTAATAAAAAATACAACTCGACAGATACACAATTTGACAACCAGACAGAACTGACACAGGACACTAAAGGATTAAAACCATAGACATGATAATATGGACTGACAGTAGACTTTTACGTAATTTGGTGTTCTATGTATGGTACATTTGACGTGACCTGTAGGAGTCAATTGATTTTAATAAAAACAATATTTCTGACGAATGCGTGTTTTATTGTCAAATAAATGAAAATACACAGCAGTATACACAACAAATCTACTGCCAGAAGAGTCTAAATATATAGTCAACGGCTTCTTCAAGAGCCTTAACCATATCTACCGCCTGTGATAGTTTTGTTCGAGACAATGAATAGATGAAAAGACCACTGTCAAGCTCTCAGTCAATTTCCAATATACCCTTTTCAAAATAAGCCGTCTTGTATTGATAACAGAGTTCAATAAAAAGTCGAACAGTTACTCACGATCCTCAAGTAATGGGTCAGTCCTTTGATAATAGCTTACCAATTCCATCATAAGGTTCGTTTGAAAGTAGTTGTTTCAAGAGAACTTTTTTGCCAAGTTTGAATTTGAAAGTATCGTCTATGCATGATATATACATTAAGAAGTAGAAAACCAATACATGTTTCCCAAAAATGCAGTGTATCATTGTTCATTTACAAGTTCATAGGAGTAGATATATCTACTTTTCATCACCCGTTACAGCGTTTTTCACGGATTTTTCAGTTCTAAAGGTAATTTTTTCAGCAATTTCTTACACCAATAAACGATGGTACTTTATTTTCGGAGGTTTTGAGAAAGAAAGTTTTTGACTACAAACTTCTCCATCTTCATACAAAAAATGTGGGAAACCTCCAAAGGAAAGAAGAAAGCAATCAATTCAGAAGTAAACTCTTCAGAATGATGTTCAGATCATTCATAGAAACTACTTTCATACGCAAACTGAAAGAAAAAAACCCTTCCAAAACAATTACTTCCTTATGAACATTTCCCAAAAACTAATCTCTCCTGAAAATATACGCTTTTCAATGTTTGGTTAGGTTATGTTAGGTCAAAAGTGAGTAAGCCTATTCGACCCTCCCCCGCAAACCGCAAGGGTTTATTGTGGCTCACACATATTCAAACTCAACCAAACAAACCCATCAGCTTCTTGACGAAGCCTCTTAATTTATTTTGTGAGTGATCTTTCAAGTCAGTCAAGTATAATGTCAGAGGTCCAGTGTCAGCCAGCAGTCTAGTGTACTCTGCATTAGATTGCTTTGTGCAATGGACTTTTTCATGATATTTGGTTTACAGTTCATTTGGTAGTAATTTCAAATTGAAAACTAGTACACCCTGTTTCAGCTCTCTAAATACTGTTGTTTTCCCGTAATTAATTATTGAAAACTGGATTTTCTAGGTCTGTGACACCACGGGACTAGTCAAGCTTCTTGCTCGATTGACCAATAGAAACAATACAAATAATGAAAATTGTCGAATTGGTAAATTGACTGAGCGTATAAACAGTTTCTGATTCATTCCTGATTCAAAGTAAAATCACAGTTACTTCCGACAACTGAATCTAAGAAGCAAGTACAAGAAATACATTAGAAGAGAGAATTAATTATACATATCCAAATAACATAAAACGCAATAAAAACGTTATTCTTCAAATATCTCCGGGAGTAGACATTTTTATGTTGATGTCACAGAAATTTTAATAACGGAAATGTACCTATATGAACCCGTTAACGTTTAAATTAATGAAAAAAGTATCCATATGAAATAAAATATACTCGAAAACCATGGTTCTAAATAGAATTTAACGGGCTATATTTTTAAATGGTTCACGAAGGCTCATAAACCCTAATAAAATAAATCAAATATGCATTCATATCACCCACCAAAAATAAAAAACTCAACGTTATATATATTAGCCGTATTGACCTTATTGAGTGATGCGACCCCATGGTTGCCAACTGCGGTAAAATAATGACATTTGACAATTCGACATTTGCTAATAAATAAATAACCTATCTTTCTGAGTTTCTTCTGCATTTTCATTTTTGGTAAATGAGAAACTGATTTCCAGAATATGGTCAAAAAGAGAATTTCAGTCGTCTTATATGAAGTTGGGGCTCCAGAATGAAGAATTAACTATGAAGAAATATAAGATGGTCTGTCCTAAAAATGAAAATGCAGAAGGAACTCAGAAAGATAGATTATTTATTCATTAGGAAATTTAAAATTGTCAAGTGTTATTATTTTACCGCAGTTGGTAACCATGGGGTCGCATCACTTAATAAGATCAATGGGGAATGTTCCTCATGAAGAAAATCAAGTAGTTTTCATAAAGGAGCTCTGAAACAACGCATTTTAAACTTATCATTTCAACCTTCATCTTCTAATATCTCTTCTTCTAATATATATCCAATGGATTTGTTTGGGACCTAAACCCCAAGTTTTATTCGACGATGACCCAGCTATCCTTGCTGCTCGACTTGGGTTTGGCGTCAAGCGAGAGCTTGCTCGAGCCGAACAAGCTGTTCGTGTTCCTGTTCATGCTGAATGAACTGTCGAAAGAGTAATCATCGAAGAAATTGTCATTATCGGAAAGACGAAGCTTCCCCAGAGAAGAGAGAGTGCTTGAAGGAGATTGGACGTTTTCCTGCTCAATAGTCTGCATGTCACTGAGAGCAGAATGGCTGATACCACTGCAAACACGATATTATGATGAGACGTTGTAAACTCACACGTGGGGCAAATAATCTTTACAGATACGTCATCAATACCTGACGTTATAAAACACACACACACACACACAGTATTATTTTTTCTACCAGTGAAGAACAAAACATTAAAACAGCAAAGGAGATCTTATTTGGGTTATAGCTTGGACTTGGTGAATCCAAAAGAAATGGCGTACATTGTAATAATATGTTATTTCTAAAAACTTATTAAGGAAACTAACACAAAGGAAGGAAACTAACACATCTTAACAACAATAACATTGAGTTAGTAGATGGTTTGTCATAGAATTGCATAAAGAAACAGTTGATATTAATGAGTAAATGAGCTGTTCAGCTTCGAGGACGAAATCCCATGCTTTTTCTTATGAAGGTACAATCTGGGCATTTTCGGACGTCCAAGCATGACCTTGCGGAACACTCAACTCAAAGTAAGTGCTACTTGTGTGAGAGAGGGACGAATTGCAACATGTGTGTATATTGAGAAGACGACGTCAGTGTGGTATAGGTAAGAAACAAACATGGCGACATGCCTAAAGGACACTAAGCCGCATCTTTGTTATTAATAGTCGCATCCTATCGTGCATCACATCAAATGAAAGGGGAACGGATGCATAATTCATTGACAAAAATACAAACATGACGGCACGCCAAAGACACCAAGCCATACCTCCAGTAATAGTAGATGAACAATGTATGTACGAGCACATTTCAAGGTCGTGCGTCGCTAGTTTCAGGGAGAAACTAGTGAGTGGAAGAGAGAAACGTGTGACGTCATCGACGCAGGATGGAACGAGTATCGTAGCGATTCAAGCGTGGAACTCGGCCCCCTTAGTACTCCGCATCACCGATCGGCCCCCTTTGGGACTCCGTCTCACCTCTCGGCCCCCTTTGGGACTCCGTCTCACCTCTCGGCCCCCTTGTCTCGTTCCAGTCACGTGATTCTAATTAAAAAAAGTTTATAGTTATGAGAATCGAACCCGAGTCGTTCGCGTGGTAGACATTGTCCTTAGCCTCTACACCAACGTAAGATATTGAAAGTAACTGCGAATGTTGGGTATTTATAGCGTAAGTTTTGTCGGGACCGAAATTGACTCATTTTACATACCTGACCGCATTTTTTTTATTTCCGTAGAATGTAATCGTCATTATCATGTTGAAGATAGGAAAATATACTTAGGTTTGGAAAAGAATTAATATTTCATATAAAGTTGTGTATGTGTGTGTAAGAGCGAGAGAGAAAGAGAGATGGAGATGGTATCGATGTTTTACGTTCCTAGCGAAAGCAGGTGTTGCCGGTTGAAAAATAAATCGTTGTTTATTGGGCAATGTAGTGTTGCCGGGATATCTCAAAATACATCATTAAAGGAAAAACATGGCGAAGAAGTGTACAGGGTGCGTCAAAATATATCATTTAAGAAAAAACATGTCGGTTTAACAGAAGTCTAGCGTACTTGGGTGTAACTATTGACAGCAATTTGAAATTCAAGGAACATGCTAATAAAGTTATCAAAACAATAGCTTACAAAATCAACTATTTAAGATGTTCCCCCATATATGAGCCAGTGGTCTAAATTATTAGTCTACAACTCCATAATCCTTCCACATTTGAATTATTGATCTACCGTTCTGTTCCTTCTCAATCATAATGAAATAAATACACTACAAAAAATGCAGAATCGTGTTATGTGAATAATCTTACAATGTTCGAGGATAACACCCATAGCAAATATGTTGCAAACCCTTTAATGGCTACCAGTGAAGAAATTCTTCAAGTACCAAACACTAATTTTCATTTTTAAAATCAAAATTAGATATTCACCTGTATATCTACTGAATAAATTAACTTATGTGGCTGAAATACATGGGCATAATACCAGAAACAGAAACAATATAAAAGTTGAAAAAATTGTATACATACGTCTTTATTTCACAAAGGAGTAGATTGTTTTAATGATCTCCCTCAAGAAATTGAAGATAGTGGTTCGATAAATATATTCAAAAGACGATTGAAAGATTTCTTAATAAAAATATAGAATATTCCTATGTATGACTTTCTTATGTAACTTTTTATTCATACATTTTTATTTTTATTCAGAATGTTTGTATTTTTTCATATTGATATTATCTTATTTATAATGTGACAATGTATTTACTATTGTAATTGAATTAGTTTTTCAACTAAATCACGTGTATCACATTAAATGAAATGGAAAGGGATGCCGAATTCATTGACAAAGAAAAAACAAACATGACGGCATGCCAAAAGTCACTAAGCCGTACCTCCATTAATAATAGTCGCATCGTCACGTGCATCACATCAAATAAAAGGGAGAGGGTTGCTGAATTCACCGACAATGAAAAAACAAAGATGGCGGCATGCCGCCATGTTTATTGTTCTTCAACTCCACACAGACGTCATCGCCTTCTCGATACACACACATATTGCAGTTTGTCCCACTCTTACACACGTGACCCTTATCTCTAGTTGGTTGTTCCGCTCGGAGGTCGTCCGAAAATGACCAGAATGAAGCTTCATAAGAAAACGAATGGGATTTTGTCCCCGAACCAACACAGCTCCTTTACTTGAACGATAATTATCGTTGAATCAACGTGAAAAATATTCAGTTTGGAGAAGAAGAATTGATTTAGTTTCAGAAACTTCAGAATTGCAGTGTCTTCTTTGGTTACTATCTCCAAACGTTGCAACTGCAACTGCAAGAGTCATCTTCAGTCGCGTGGTCGAAGTATTCTTCTTGACGTATAAACTGAAACTCAGTTTTAGTTGATACGTCAAGAAGTTGAAACGTTTGGAGATTATATCAAAAGACCACCTCAAAACCCGGAAACCAACCAAAACATTGACGCTAGCCGAGAAAGCTTATATTCCTTTATTACAAATAACCATTGAAATCTTCAACTTCTTTCACAATATTAATTTATTTCTGAATGTAAACATTGAAATGTTAACTCGACATCCTCAAGCAGTGTCTCTGAGAGTGGAATGCCATCATCTACTGGATCATTCAATCAAGGGGCCGTGGATTGAAAAGAAAGGAATTCAACTGGTCGTTCCATGACAATGTCGACTTTTTCAGTTGCACAAATCTATGACGCACGCATAAAGCCCCATATACCCTACTAGACAACTCATACTCACCCCCTGGTGCTGATCCCCATCCCGAGACGCTCCATCTGGTCGGCCTTGGCGGGATTCTGCTTGCGTGCCTGCTCGTTGCGCTTCTGCTGCTGGTCGCCGAGCTCCTTGTAAGCCAACCTGACGGCAGCCTCACGCTCCTCCTCTTGCTTGCTCGTCAACGCGGCCATCTTGAGACTCTCTTCGGCAGCGCGCATGCGCGACTCTTCGGCCAGTTCCGCCTCGCGTTCCAGTTGGGCGAAGTTCGTTTTCACTTTTGTGGCGCCGAGGCCGGACTTTTTCGCGCCCAGCTGAAAATAGGCAGATGGGAGAGATCAACCGAAAGGAAAAAAATGTGGCGTCGTTTCCTGGAGACGGCAAGTAGCTCGGTGTAGTTGTGGTGTTTGGGAGACGTGCTTGTTTTGAGATTTCCTAACTAAGAGGTTAAGCGTATTGTAACAAATTAAAGAATTTACTGTCTTAACAAAATTTATTTCTAACAATATTTCACTGAACACGAACTAATTTATTTACAACACTTAGCAACTAACGTTTAATTTATCTCCACTATTTGAATTCCTTGTTTAGCCGCTCGATTCGCTTTCTGAACTCAACTGCCCTCTTGGCTCGAGAAGCCGGCGGCCTTATATATCGGCAACGATGGTTCTAGTATTCTGTAGTCGTTTCGGTACTCAACTAGAGTTTTACCGGCGGTTGCCGGAATAACAACACACAATTAGTATTAATTCAATTACGAAAACTCACAAACTGACAACGACATACCAATTTAATTGTCACTATCGCTAATAGCGACCTACTAGGAAGATTAGTTTCGTATTTTCGCATTTATGACGATGTATCTCTGTAGTTGTTCGTAAAATAGTTTTTTGCTGCGAACTGGTTTATTTTGGGCAAAAACCCAAGAGACATTTTTGTTTAGAATGAAACAGGCTATCGGAAATTAATTTTCAAATGGTAAACAAATAATAAGACAAAAAGTTACTTTGGAAATAAATTTTAGGGGTTGCGTTTTCCACCCCTTACAACCATGGGGTAAACCAAATAAATTTCT